AGGCTAGATCTATCGCTGCTGATGTATTGGCTGGTGTAGCGACTCGAGTTTTCGTCGACAATCTCCTTGCTAACATGGACAAGATTCAGGAGATTGCCCTTTTTATTGGTTCTATGCTGGTAGCGAACAAAGCCATCCGACATGCCAGAGCACGTAAACGCCTGGACAGAGACTTCGAGGAGTGGAAGAAGTGTCAAAACGGTACTTTTTTGTTCTCTTAAAACTCCGCATATTAAACCAAAAAATCCAAAAGCAAGTTATTTTAGAAGGGTCACCAAGAAGTGTGTCCGCGATGATAACGTAGATGTCTTAAGAAGGGTGTTCCTGTGATTTGGACCAACAATCAGTAGAAACCATATGCCTGTAGTACTTTTTGTTGAATTGGAGCTGTAAACGTTTGTTTGGCTAAAGTGCACTCAACTTAAATAAAGTGGAGGAGAGAATTCTAGCCAGCGGAAGTAATCAATTCGGATACACTGACTCAGAGTTTCAGTTTGCCTTGTTTTCCGACGTGCCACATTTACTTTCTCTTAAGTAAGAATTCAGTCCTGCTTCAGAAATCCTAAGTCTTCAGTTACTTGTCGCATTGAATTTTGTACGCCGTGCTAAGGCTGCCTGAATGTTTGTGGTCATCCTCTTTGTAAAAATAGTAGGCCAATAAAATACAGATGACAGTTTTGTCTTGTACCGATTTAGAAAGCATTTACACAACCTCATAACTGTTAGCATTTTCAATTATTTCAGTTACCTTTGTATGCAGAAGTCTCTGGCAGGGTGGTTACGATAGTAAATTTTGCAGCGAATGGTCGCGTTTTAGGCGACTGTAGTGCTGATTAGGGAGCCACTTCAGTAAAATTTGGATCCATTGACAAAATTAGCATCGCTTTAAATGGAGTGCGTGGAACTTTGCGTGGCTCAACTACCTTGGACGTGGAGAAACTGAGCCGTTGTAAACTTAATCCCTGGTTATTTTGTTCACCCTCCATAGTGAATTTCTGGATTTTCATGGGAAAGTAAGTGGCACAATTAATGTTAAGACGAGGCTTTATCCAACATGTTTTTGAGAAATAATTAAGATAGCGTAGCCCTTATTGTACCTATTGATCATAACAGGACAAATTGCCATGAAAAGATCGCCGTGGAAAATGTATTTTCATCCCGTGAAAAGCAAATTCATTTTGGACTCCTAGTTGACTGTGTTTGTCAGCGCTGTCGGAAGCTGACTGTTTGTATTTCATACTTTTCGCACGCAAATAACGCACCTTTACCTAGAAAGCGTTGTCCTCTTCTAGCATGATTATTATTCGCAGCTTATACTCCTTTTATGTCCAGATCGCAAAGACCTATCAAGCAAATATCATGACTGGCGTCAGGCTGTTGATCTGGCGACAGAAACCCTCGCCAACGCAGAGGCCAAATTCATGCGTGACAGGCTTTTAGCTCCGCTGACGGAAGTGGATTTGAAGTGTCAAATCGCTGCTGTACAGGTTGCTCGCAAGGCCACGGGCATAGCCAGAGCACGACTGATCACTGAGCAGCGGACCAGGGTGGAGCCGACAGGCAAGCGTTAAAATTCATTTGCATTTTTTACTACAAAACCATATGGTCATCACTTCATTTATGTTGCGTAATTTAAGAAATTTTATCAAATGCATGGTTTCCAAACATTTTCTATCGGATATATGTTATAACATTTTACACATCTCGATTACTTTTCGGAAGTAGAAATCACACAAGATATATTGTTTTCCGGCTTGTTAGTCTCGTTTTGGCTTTGAAAGGAGACTTTGACATTGAATTTCAAAGAAAAAACAAACTCTGCAATACTAACATAGTCTACCAGTTGTAGAGGTGCACTCACCGATCGTGCCACGGAAGTCACTCGTCCCGTTGTGCATTGGGGCTGTCTCCTTCGAGCCTAACCAGCATCTACACAGCGGCGCCTAATATAGGCGGTAACAGTATCGACAAAAACAATGGAGACTAGAATACACATTTCTGGTTTATTACCCGTCTTCAGCCAGTTATACCTAACCCCGAAATGTGAAACACTTGGGACTCAATCCCGCGACCTATTGGTTAGGAGTCCAACGCCTCTAACCACTGAGCCGCGGGCTCGAGCCCCAGGTGTTTAACACCTGGGGGCTGGATATGACTGGCTGACGACGGCTAATAAGCCAGAAATGGCGATTCCAGTCTCCGTTGTCTTTGACGGTAATGTTACTCCGCATAGTCTATTAGGTCAACCATACTGTCATGCGATGTATGCATATTTATGCAACGCTCAGGCAATTTGACCAACTTATCTGGTGCTCTTGCTGGGTTCCCTTTTCTCGAAAATGGAAGCCCGTAGACATTTTTATCATTCCCCTTCTTTTTAGGTTGTGAATGCCAAGCGATGTTAGACCACGCAGTTCCACCGTCGAAGAACAAATGTCGTCCGCATTCAGGTCAGCCACTACTGGGTTGTTGTCTTCTGCTTGCAAATTTCGACATTTAATTCATTTCAAATCACCAACGTGCTTTGAGTTCTACTTGTGCAGTACTATGCGATATTATTCATTCCTCAGTCATTTTACAGAGAGCGAAATACCCTCAAATGACTTTTTGCGACTTCCTGCGAGGGCCCTTGACTGTGGCTCTAAAACAATGCGCAACACTTCCATTCCGTACTGCAGTTAATCTAGACAACTAAATATGTCTGTCACGAAAATTTAAATATTTCGAATTGCAGCTGACAAACCTTAGGTCGATACCCAACTGGCAGAGCGACTGGCC